TAAAGCAACACCCATTTTAAAATGCCATAGAGAATAAATTAATTTTTAATTTGGATCTAAAAATAGCCAGAGTCGGTGCCGTTCTGATAGCTAGTGGCAGCTTATTCCACAGATTTGGACCGCTCACCGCAAACGCACGATCACCCTTGAGCCTAGATCTAGTTCTGGGCACTGTTAAGAGTGCCAGATCACTGGATCTAAGTGATCTAGAGGGAACATGTCTTACGAGGAGATCTGCAAGATAAAGTGGAGTGCGGTTATTAATAGACTTAAATACCATGACCAGGATTTTGAACTCAATTCTGTATTTTACAGGTAGCCAATTCAACGAAACAAGGATGGGACTTCATATTAAATCATGATTTTAACATAATTTACATTAGACCGGCCCCATCCATCACTGCTTTTAAATCCTATCTTAAGACATATCTATTCCTCCGGCTTTTACCATTACTTAAGTATTTTATTTTGGATCTCTCTCGTATTAAGCTGATTGTCTATTGCTTGTTTACTTGATTTAATTTCCACTTTAATCTTGCTCCCTTTTAATTCATTGGTATTATTTTATTCATTGTACAGCACTTTGGTAAACCCCGGTTGTGTTTAAATGTGCTCTATAAATAAACATTGATTAGTCATTTCTAGTATGTCTCTGTGTTTGCAATTATGTGAAATAAGCATATGTTGATGTTTGTTTATATCAGAGCATCTCAGTCATCTAGACGCAGACCCTCATGAATGTGCGCTATGGGTGCTGCTGAAGAAAACTTTTTTTAAAGAAGCTCATGAGTACCCAAATATTACTTGCAGTGTAATGGCATTACAGGGCATCAGGGGTATTTTGAAAGTCTGGCTGAAGTTTAAAGTCAGTGATTTTTTATTTTTTTTTGCATTTTCCACAGTCGTGGTTGGCTGCAGACTGTCCAAACCTCAGAATCCTGTCTGTTGAGTATGACACCCATTTAAGTGACTGGAAGGCTAAGTGTCCTGCTGAAAACCAAAGGTAAACAGTCAATTTCCGATGTGTGCTGTGCATTACTAAATTATATGATTAACTCAACATAGCATACCAAATATCCATGTTTGTCCCTGATTTTTGTGTTTTACAGGAAGTCCTTGGCCTACAGAAGTCAGGAACTGCTGAGGAAATTGAAGGATGCAGGTGTAGGGGACAGACCTGTGGTGTGGGTAGCCCACAGTATGGGAGGTTAGTCCATGGTGGGTCTTAGAATAACCAGCACCCAACTATGAGAGTAATTTTCTAAATCTTCCTACATCATATTTGTGTAGCTGTCTAAATTATTTGCAATACAATGGTTTTTTACTATTTTAAATTGCGACTGCTTATGTATAACAAAAATGTAATTTTAGTTTCAACAGGGAGTTTAATATTAATTTTAGAGGTTTAAAAATCTCACAAGGCCATATTGTGATTCAGTATTTTAATTAATTGTGCAGCCCTGTTTGTAGCTAAAAAATCAATTTGTAACTCTAAATCAAAACTTGTGTCACAGGTTTACTTGTGAAAAAGATGCTCTTAGATGCCTCTAAAGATCCTGATCTCAGTCCGCTGATCAAGAACACAAAGGGAATTCTGTTCTACAGCGTTCCTCATCACGGCACGTTCATGGCAGAGTATTCTGTAAATGTCCGATACCTACTGTTTCCCTCCATTGAAGTAAAAGAACTATGTAGAGGTATAGTGTGATTTATTTTTGTTCCCTAAATATGAATGCAATATTAATTCCTCCACTTAAGATTAAGATTCTAAATCTAATTTGCACTTAATTTTTCTGTTCACCTGTTTCGACTCTCCAGCGTTACGGGACTTGAATGAAAATTTCCTGAACATTGCAAAGGAACAAGAGTTCAAGGTCCTTAGCTTTGCAGAAACTCTACCAACCTACATTGGGCCAATGCTCAAAATATTGGTAGTTCCATCGCAGTCAGCAGGTAGGTCAGGATAATTGAACAACAAGCAGCATTGTGATGTATCATTTTTACATAATAACTGACGGTTTTAGGTACCTGGTATCAGAAAACAAAAATTCTCCTTTTGCTCTTTCAGATCTGGGTATTGGGGACCTCATCCAGGTGGATGTTGATCACCTCAACACCTGCAAGCCAGAAAAAAAAGACTAATTTCTCTATAAACGTACTTTACAGTTTATTCGAGATGCTTTTGGAGGACAGAGAATTAAATGAACTCTTAAGTCCACAGTCCAAAACCGGTCTCTTGCCATTTCATTGCCTCTTGAGGGTTCAACAATTACATTTTAAAAGATAGTGTTAACTATGAATAGAAGGAAGTTCTAAAATTGCAACTGGATTTTTCTTTTCATTTTTTTAATTCAATAAAGCCATTATGAATATGCTTTTTGTTAAAACCTCTGGGTTTAACTTTTAATGTGCTTTGCCCACTTCACCGTTACCTTGTACTGTATTTCATTTCAGTAATTTGGAATGAGCACTTTTCGGCATTTATTTTAACCGGAAGCTATAACAAATTGAAATGAGTATCAAGTATATTATGTTTAAAATAATCATTTATAGAAAGTCCATTTTATTTATATTATTTATTTTTCTTGGAAGAAGCTGAAAACTAGCCTTTTTCTTAACTCACCAGCCTTCTTTGTATCCCTACCTCAGACTCACAGGTTGGTACTGATGCTGGCTGTAATTTGCCACTATTTTTGTACTAATGGATTAATTGTAGTACTTGCATAGGACCATATTACTTTTATTTTGATGTTGAGTATGTGCAAGACACAATTATTGCCAAATGTTTATCACACTGAATAAAGTTGTGTGTCCTAACTTTATATTCCACTTAAATCAGATACTTTTACTATAGCTATAATGCAGCCTTTTCTTTTCAGAGAAACAGTGCGCTCCAGGCCAGCAGAGTGCAGTAGAGCTCACAGATCGAACATTAGTCTGTTACTAGAGGAAGACCGTTGTTAGTAGACGGTGGACACTGTAGGCTTAAAACAAATTGACAATTGACAGATAAACACAATAAAAATCATGTAAGAATGATTTTTTTTTTTTAATTTTCAAAAACTGCTTGTTTTTAGATGTATATGATTTGCGAATATATGTTTGGAGATACGCACAGTATGTGAAACATTTGTGACGTACAAACATTCACGGTAGCGTTAACCTGCTAACTTTTTGTTATTATTTCTCAGTTCAGAACAATTTTGCCTTTTGTAGATACATAGGCTTTAACTGAAGAAACAGAAGTGTTAACACATCCCGTCCAAAATGGTTAATGTCTTGAAAGGAGTTCTCGTTGAATGGTAAGTTTTACATATAACGATTTAAAGGTGCATTCAGTATTTTTTCTATGATTAAAAATTTTAAACTTAGAAATAAACAATAATTTAAAAAAAATCTATGTGAAGTCATATAGACTTACAGTAGATGAAGAGATAAGTAGTCTAAAGCCGTTTTATTTTACATGGAGCGGGTCGCCACATGGGTAACATCGCGTGACCAGCAGAAGTACCATTCACTTGATCTTGGATCCGCTTATATACTTGCTTATCTATTAATATTTGTGGTTGACTGACTAAAGTGTTTCTTCAGTGTTACCTGTAACTGAAAATTTTGGCACAAGGTATCAAAAAAAAAAATATGAGTGCACTTTTAAAATAAAGTAATGCAGCAGTGCACCATCATTTATGATCCTTCTTTTAAAATATGAAACAGTGACCCAGCTATGAAGCAATTTCTTCTATATCTGGACGAGACGTCAGCATTGGGGAAGAAATTTATCATCCAGGATTTGGACGAGACGCATGTTTTCATCCTAGCTGAAGTTGTGCAGATTCTTCAGGAGCAAGTAGGAGAACTGATGGACCAGAATTCATTCCCCATCACCCAGAAATAAATGTCTGAATCTGACAGCAGACCTTACAATCTGTAGGAGCAGATGGATGTGGAGATTCTTTCAGCACAATTGCACAAACACAGATGCACCTAAAATATATAGATGACTGGCTACTAGGATGATGCCTGTTATCCTTGTTTTAGTTTGACTGTGTTGCATACATTTTTCAGCTGACAGAATTATATGCTTTATGTTGCATATGTTTCAAAGACAGCTTCTTGAATCTTTTCAGCATTTCAAAATTGTTCACAAACTGAAAGCAGATGGTTGATGACAGTGTGATTTATATACATGCATAATATACAAGCATCAAATAAAAAAAACTTAAACTAAAAGTTTTTAAAATGTGCTTAATTTGTTTCCTGCATACATTATAATTAGCCTTAAAAATTAGAAGACTGCTGTATTGATAGGTGCCAGTTTGTAAAATTCCAAGCTCCCTTTTCTGTTTATTCTCTTTCTAGTGAAAAACCAGCTCAAGCCACGTGCACAAGGGTTTGAAAAGGCATTTAGACAACTGAGATGTGTCTGTAATCAGGATATTGGTACCTTTTGGTGTGAGGAGAACAAACCGCAAAATCAAAATAGTGAACAGCATTATATTTCCAAAATATCCAGCATGTTTTGATTAAGGAAGGGAAAGTGGTGCGGTGCACTCTTGGAAATACCTAGTAGTTCACCTAGTAAAACTGACTGGCTATACAACACCACTATCTGAAAATAAGGTGCCATTTCCTCTTTAAGAAGACCATCATGTGCCCTCATGAATGTGCGCTATGGGTGCTGCTGAAGAAAACCCGCTCTGCCGACCGGGCCGTTAGACAGCAGGCGGTGCAGGAACTGGCCCAGAATCACCACTGGCAGGGTGAGAGATGGCAGCACACTTCAATTCATTATTATAAAATGTCAAGTTCTGCTGAATTTACTGAAAACTTGCTGTTGCTCTTGCTCAGCAAAACCTATTTCTATTGCGCAGACCCCTTTGCCTACCAAAGAAAAATAATTCACTATAACTCTGTGAGCTCTGAATGGTCTTTTGTCTTGTCCATCACAGATTATCAGTACCAGACTGCAGCACAGGTGGTAGATCAGCGCACAGCTGTGGCTCTCGCCCGCATGCCTAACGTGGACCTGCGCTTCTTTCTCCCTCCAGCTCCACTGCCGCATACTGACGATGTGGGTAGCTATCGTTCAGACAATAGCCAAATTGAACTGCTGTGTAATGTCAGATATCTGTGCTAAAGTTTTGTGCATGTATTATAGGATATATCGATTGAAGATGGGCTTAGGCAGTTACTGGCATCTCTGCCCCAGTCGGAGGTGGATCAGTGTGTGCAGTACTTCACCTCTCTGGCATTAAGAGAGAGCAGCCAATCACTAGCCTCTCAACGGGTGAGACATACATAGTCAAACTATAGAGTGCAACAGTTCCTACAAATCTCCATAGTTTGTTTAACAATAACCTACATGTACGTTCTCAAACTACCTAAATATTTGTGTGTATTTATTCCTCAGAAAGTATTCTTTCGAATACTTTTTTGGCTTTGTAATATTGTGATTTACCATGTACCAAGTCATTTTTAAATTCCCTATGGGAAAATGAATGGAAAAAACACTTCTTGAATCAAGGATCCTGAAAAAGTGTTTAAGCACCCATTGTATTTATTTCACTCAAATTTATATCCATATAAAAGTGTCACTGTGTTAGCTGTGCATTTTGGTCTGTGATTATAGGGAGGGCTGTGGTGTTTTGGAGGAAATGGGTTGCCCTATGCCCAAAGCCTGACTTCCACCCCCTCTGAGAAGGTGGAGACGTTCTGCCTGCAGGCCCTGGTGCAGCACTCAAAGGTGAAGGTTTACAAACTCTGCAAAGTGACATGTATTTGTGTAGCAAGGAAGTAAGCAATGATCAAAGAAGACAGGATGCTTGTGTGTGTAGAGTGATGTTTTGTAGATCTTCTTGAGGTGTACCTTCAGTTGATTGGTTTTAATCAAGAATTTGACTTAAATAAACGAATCAATTCAAAGCATTTAATTGTTCTTTGTTCACAGGTCCAAAGTCATTGTGACCACGTTGTTGCTAATGGAGGACTGCTGCTTTTGCAAAGAGTCTACCAGCTTCGCAGAGACTCTCCGAAAATTCAGCGCAACATTGTGCGAATTATTGGAAACCTCACCCTGAATGACAGCTTGCACACAGCCATAGTACAGTCAGGTTAGCTTTATATTTTAGAATAACTGATTTTATGTTGAAAAGAGTAGTTCTTTATTCTCTTTTGTGGTTGACCTTTAGGTTGGGTGGCTGTCCTGGCTGAGATGATCCAGTCACCACACATCATGCAGGCATCTCATGCTGCCCGTGCTTTAGCCAATTTGGACAGAGATGCAGTAAGGCAGAAGTACCAGGATGGTGTTTACATATTGCACCCACAATGCCGCACTAAGTATGCATGCTTATATGAACTTCCACTTATGCTCACCAAGTCTGCATTTATTTGATCAAAAATACAGTAAAAACAGTAGTATTGTAACATTGTTACAATAACTGTTTTTATTGTAATATATTTTAAAATGTAATTTATTCCTGTGATGGCAAAGCTGAATTTTCAGCAGTCTCCTTAAGAAATCATTCTGATATGCTGATTTGCTGCTCAAGCAACATCTTACCAGTGTTCAAAACTATTGTCCTGCTTAATATTTTTGGGAAATCTGTTGTAACGTTATAAAAGCTTATAAAAGTCTAACTTTTGATCAGTTTAATGCATCTTTGCCGAATATGTATGAAAAGGTCTTTTGTTTAGTGAGGATTAATTATGTCTTCCATTCTTTTGAATCTTTTCAGCATTTCAAAATTGTTCACAAACTGAAAGCAGATGGTTGATGACAGTGTGATTTATATACATGCATAATATACAAGCATCAAATAAAAAAAACTTAAACTAAAAGTTTTTAAAATGTGCTTAATTTGTTTCCTGCATACATTATAATTAGCCTTAAAAATTAGAAGACTGCTGTATTGATAGGTGCCAGTTTGTAAAATTCCAAGCTCCCTTTTCTGTTTATTCTCTTTCTAGTGAAAAACCAGCTCAAGCCACGTGCACAAGGGTTTGAAAAGGCATTTAGACAACTGAGATGTGTCTGTAATCAGGATATTGGTACCTTTTGGTGTGAGGAGAACAAACCGCAAAATCAAAATAGTGAACAGCATTATATTTCCAAAATATCCAGCATGTTTTGATTAAGGAAGGGAAAGTGGTGCGGTGCACTCTTGGAAATACCTAGTAGTTCACCTAGTAAAACTGACTGGCTATACAACACCACTATCTGAAAATAAGGTGCCATTTCCTCTTTAAGAAGACCATCATGTGGAAGTAAGAGGAAGTGTTATTGTGTGTCAGACCTATAGCTTTGTAGTGTTACATCCAGTTTATTTTATTACCTAACAATACAGCTATGATATAGATCTATCTGTCTATGTCTGTCTGTCTATCTATATATCTATCTGTCTGTCTGTCTACCTATCTGTCTGTCTGACTGTCTATATCTGTCAGTCTATCTATCTAATATATGTTTGTGTCTATCTATCTATCTATCTAATATATGCCTGTCTGTCTGCCTGTCAGTCTATCTATCTATCTATCTAATATATATGTCTCTGTCTCTGTTTATCTATCTATATCTATCATCTATCTATCTAATATATGTTTGTCTATCTATCTATCTATCTAATATATGTATGTCTGTCTGTCAGTCTATAGCCTATCTATCTATCTATCTATCTATCTAATATATATGTCTCTGTCTCTGTTTATCTATCTATATCTATCATCTATCTATCTAATATATGTTTGTCTATATTTACAATAACTGTTTTTATTGTAATATATTTTAAAATGTAATTTATTCCTGTGATGGCAAAGCTGAATTTTCAGCAGTCTCCTTAAGAAATCATTCTGATATGCTGATTTGCTGCTCAAGCAACATCTTACCAGTGTTCAAAACTATTGTCCTGCTTAATATTTTTGGGAAATCTGTTGTAACGTTATAAAAGCTTATAAAAGTCTAACTTTTGATCAGTTTAATGCATCTTTGCCGAATATGTATGAAAAGGTCTTTTGTTTAGTGAGGATTAATTATGTCTTCCATTCTTTATATTCAGTCAGCCAATCAAAGCTGATGTTCTCTTTGTGCACGGCCTCTTGGGAGCAGCTTTTAAAACTTGGCGTCAAAAGGACCTTGATGTGGCGGAAGATGACAAGGTGGAAGGGGTTCGAGAGGACTACACTGAATGCTGGCCTAAGGTCAGATATATATATATACAGTGGGTACGGAAAGTATTCAGACCCCCTTAAATTTTTCACTCTTTGTTATATTGCAGCCATTTGCTAAAATCATTTAAGTTAATTTTTTTTCCTCATTAATGTACACACAGCACCCCATATTTATTGAAAGAAACAGAATTGTTGACATCTTTGCAGATCAGTCTATAGCCTATCTATCTATCTATCTATCTAACTCTCTAATATATATGTCTCTGTCTCTGTTTATCTATCTATATCTATCTATCTAATATATGTTTGTCTATCTATCTGTCTATCTATCTATCTGTCTGTCTGTCTGTCTGTCTGTCTGTCCGTCTCTCTGTCTGTGTGAGCCTAATCAAAGTAATACAAATAAGAGAGCTGCAGCTGTTTATTATTTCAAATGGTCAGTTCACTATGATTTGGACAGCCTCATAACAACCGTTTGAAATTCATTTAAAAAAAATAAATGAATAATGTTGATTTTGATTAAAATTTAAACCGCATCTATCTATCATTTGCCACAATGTTTTGGCAGCATTTTTCCGAGTCTCTTGTTCTCCAGACAGCGCAGATGTACTTCCATGCACCTCGTCGTGGCGCTGGGTTCTGTGTGAAGTTCTCGAGCGTGCGCACATCCACCTCCACTAACGCACAAAGCGCTTCTGCTCAGGTTACTGTAAATGAGACCTCCAGTCTTACTACAATTGCCTGTTTAATGGACTAAATAGCCAGGAGGACCGGAAGCCATAATATGAAGAAACGCTACATGGATATAGGCAGGCTAAAGAAAATGAAAAAGATTAAACTCACAGAAAAGATTTCCGAAAGGTATGACACCGCGCGCGCTGCTTTGTTGTTTTGTTATTGCTCTTATTCGTTTTCACCTGAATGGCTCGCGCTTGGCTATTCATAGCGCGCTGAGCGGATTGACGCAAACAATAAACAAACAGCATCTCCCGATATGATAACAAACCGGGGTTTAATTCCGAGCTAATGCTCGCTGTGATTTAATGGATGCATACAAGGCCGAATCTATAACATTTGGTGTAAAAACAGTGCAGCGGGCCAAGTTGCTAACAAAATATTTTAATAACAAAAATATCCTCCAATTGAATTTAGCGTTGCATATTATAAAGAAATGCTACACTATTTTTCTTATTTCACGTTTCGGTATTAGTAAACCTATCTATTATTAATGTGATTTGATGCAGCGTCAGCTAACAAGTAGTCATGTTATTTCTTCATGACAATTCGATGTCTGAAAAACAGACTGTCTGAAAACACAGACAAACTGACAAGGGCCTCTAACTGTCGTTTATGTAAGATTTTTCTCAGGGATTATTTTGCTGTACCTTAAATTATGCATATTTATACATTTATATAATATGTAATAGTATCCAGAGCTGTGTTCGTAAGTTATTGGTGCATTTTGTATTTTATCAGGTTCGCTGATTCCAGACTATTGTTTCTAGTGAGGTAAACACGGCAGTGTATCTGAACGGACCCCGTCTCTTATTTATATAGTGTAGTGATCTGGACAATAACCTAAATGAACGTGCACAGATTTCTCCTGAAACGGTTTCTTGTTCTTTAAATAGCCATGGCAACACTGGAGATTCGACGTTTAGGTGCTGATGCAGAAGATGAAATGTTGCCATGGTTACCAAACACAAAGGGATGTGGAGCGCAGAAAGCCTGAACAAAGGAATGGAGCACAATAGACTGTGCGACCAAAACATGGATTGTAACGTCTTCAAGAACTTACTTTCTGCGCCTTTACATCTCATGTATATGCTTGTTCATTTTTTTCTTTGATATACAGAAAATATTTTTTGTCTTTTTGTCAACATGAAGTTATAAAAAAAAAAGTATAAACACAGAGGACGCGCGTTTTGTAGTTGTATAAGGACTTATGTTTTGACAGTCTGTTTTGACTTTAGAAAGATGCATTTTTATTTTTTTACATAGTTATCATAATTTTATATTATTTTTCTTACTTAAAAATAATTCACATAATTGTATCTGTAACATTGATGACATTTTCTTTAAAAACAATCTAATAGTAAGTCATTTTAAATGTCCTGTTTTCAGCGCGTACTCTGTTCTGAAGTTCATGATCGTCTGGATGCTGGTGCTGTTAGCTGACTTTGTTCTGGAGTTCAGACTGGAATACCTGTGGCCATGTTGGCTCTTTCTAGGGACCGTCTACACCACATTTCACTGTCATGGACTGGTAGGCAATTTTCTGCTCTGCACATTCAGCTGTATTGTTTGCTTTTAAAATAATAACAAAACCCCATCTGTCATTATAAATGAATTTTCTTGCTCCATTTTCTTTTTCATTATGTTGTGTTCCTGAATGTTTCTTTTTTTAAAAGAAACAATAGATATTAAATAGATATTAAACCAACAAACCTCTGCTTTTCTATTACAGGCCATCTGTGTTGTTTTCGTGTGTGCAGCAGTTACCCTGGACTTATTCTGTTTCATTTTTGTACCCTTACACTGGCTGTTTTTTGCAGCCAGCACATATGTCTTACTCAACTATATGTGGCATACAGGTGAGCCCTAAACGCTTTTAATCAGCTTGCCATTTAATTAACACTTACAGAGCCACTGTGCCCTTGGAAGTATTATGGATATAAACATTCATTTACATATATACATTATTTATTTGCAGAAAAGGGAATCTGTATGTCAACTGTGACATTATGGATACTCTTAGTGTATATGGAGGCCTCTCTACGGTTGCGGGACCTGAAAAGCCCTCATGCAAATCTGTCCCATCTATTTGCTGCACACTGGTAGGTTCTGATTGGCAATTTATTTTAGAGCTGAATGTAATATGGGTTTTAAATTAACACTAATTTTACCAGCTGTGTTTCATACTGTAATTTAACACAAGCTATTATTATTTCTTCCAGCATTGGTTATCCACTAGTGTATATGGGATTTGATGCAACATGCTACTTCTCCAGTATGTTTAAGCTGCGCACTCAGAAATCAGTTCAGAGTGAGAATGACCTCCACATGGATGTCCTGCAACAATCCCTACCTCCTTACGTGCACCTGTACCCAAAATTGTGGATGGAAGGTATGTATCATTTCTTTTAAAGTATCATGTAATATGTAGCTATCTTTTTAAAAAGTTCAATAGTTTAAAGGGATAGTTCACACACAAAAAAAGAAAATTCTGTCATTAATAATTCACCCTCACATCGTTCCAAACCCGTAAGACCTTCGTTCATCTTCAGAACACAAATTAAGATTTTTTTGATGAAATGCAAGAGCTTTCTGACCCAGACAGCAACACAACTGACATGTTCAAGGCCCAGAAAGGTAGTAAGGACATCATTGAAATAGTCCATGTGTTCAACCATAATGTTATGAAAGTACGAGAATGCTTTTTGTGCGCAAAGAAAACAAAAATAACAACTTTATTCAACAATTTCATATCTTCCGTGTCAGTCTTTGACGCGCATTCTTATAAAATGCATTTAAAAAATAAATAAAAATAACGTGATGAAGTTCAAAAAATGTAAAATTGTGACAAATGTCTTTGTACAGATCCCAAATATAGGGTGGCCAAATCTAGGCCGACGCAATACCAGTGTCCATCCGATTCCATCACCTCAGAGGACAAACAAAACATGGAAGACTGCCTTCAAATCCACAGACTTCCTGCGAGACCCGAAAGAGACACAAATCCACAAACTCCAGGACCCAAGCACCGTGGAGGTGAACTTCATTTGGACTCTACGTCCATGCTAGAAATGACTGAAAACCTACCTCAGGAGGATCAGAGCAGCAAAGCTCAAAGACCCTCCAAGAGCTCCTTGCCTAAAGTGCATCGAGGTTCAGTGAATATCCCTAACAGCAAAGGGGAGAAGAGGCAGAAAGCCCCCAAAGCCATCAACACAATAGGGGACTCTGCTGAAAAGTGCTCGTCAAACATCTCCCCAAGTCCTCCGAACCCACATGCTGAGCAGATGCTGAAGTGTGTTTATGTTATTTCATTTCTATATGCACTGATTGTAATGGACTGTGGAAGATGGTTAATGAATTTTCGAGTACAGTTACACTGTGATCTCCATCTGCTCCACAGGCTGGAACAAGAAATGAGGAAGCTGAAGGGAGAGCTGCAGGCGAGCAGACAGAGCGAGCAAGAGCTGCGCAGTCACATTTGTAATCTGACCAACAGTGAACACAGTCTGCGCCCTGAAGTCTCTCTGCTCAGACATGCAAATGAACTGCTGCAAAACAAGTGAGTCTTCTGATATCTTCCTGTTGGTCTTGGCATTAGTGATCTGGGTTGATGTTAGGTCACGCTGCTTGATGTTTGACTGATGTTTGTGTTTATATATCACACATATGGGTGTTTCTTACTTAACACTTTAATAGTTTTCCAGCTTTTATGTATAGACTGGATTGTTTGACCTTTTGTCTCAGACTTTTAAACTTAGTGTAATTATGATACATATGAAATTAGACTTTCGGCAAGGATGCATTCAATTGATCAAAAGTCACAGCAAAGACATAATGTTACAAAAAATGCATTTCAAATAAATGTTCTTTTTAAGTTAATTCTACAAAATTATCAGTTTTGACAAAAATATTAAGCAGCACAACTGTTTTTAACATTTATGATAATAAGAAATGTTTCTTGAGCAGAAAATCAGCTTATTAAAATGATTTCTGAAGGATCATGTGACACTGAATTCTGATCTCTTCCTGTTGGTCTTGGCATTAGTGATCTGGGTTGATGTTAGGTCACGCTGCTTGATGTTTGACTGATGTTTGTGTTTATATATCACACATATGGGTGTTTCTTACTTAACACTTTAATAGTTTTCCAGCTTTTATGTATAGACTGGATTGTTTGACCTTTTGTCTCAGACTTTTAAACTTAAACTATGCAGATCCATCATAAAAATATTATTTATTATAATTTAAATAATAATAATAACTAATCTATTAAAAGCAAAAACTATTTAAATATTTGTGTACAAATATTCATATTTAGAACTCTCCCAACATTTTCATCACAACCACCAACTTTTGTCCCACTGAAGTGTTCCACCCCCTACAAAATTATCAGTTTTGACAAAAATATTAAGCAGCACAACTGTTTTTAACATTTATGATAATAAGAAATGTTTCTTGAGCAGAAAATCAGCTTATTAAAATGATTTCTGAAGGATCATGTGACACTGAAAACTGGAGTGATGGTTGCTGAAAATTCAGCTTTGTCATCACAGGAATAAACTTTAAAATATATTAAAATAGAAAACAGTATATGCTTTTTGATCATATAAAGGCAACCTTGCTGAGCATAAGAGACTTCTTTCAACAACATTAAAAAAATCTCTTCAACGGTATTGTGTACATTACAAATGAACGATGTGCTTTAAAGATAGCTCATGCTTTTCTTACTGTAAGAGTAAGTGCAATTTGACAAAATCTAACGCTGTTCCTTTAAATTCTGTGGTGCTCTGCTGTGCAGGATTCAGTGTCTCACAAAATCCAGACAGAAGGACAAACAAAACTGTTCCTTGCTGGAAAAGAAAATCAGAATAGAAACAGAGGCTCGAGTTGCAGTAGAAAAACAACTTGCAGAAGTCAGAGCCCAAAAATTTGATGAAGCAACGATTTTACTTCGGAGCGCATCACACAGGTAATTGTATTAATAAAGCAGTAGCGCAAGAGGCATACATATGCATACAGTATATTAATCTTGTCAATGCGATTTTGAATTTTTTAATCTGTGTCTTTGAGACTAGGTCTAAATGTCCTGCTTTTTAATTATGGTTATAATTGGCAGTAGAATTCTTAATGCAAAATAGCAATGGCAAAAATAAACCTGTAAAATGTTGTATTTTTTCCATCCACTATAGGCAAGAACACAGTGAAACTCAAATGTTGAGGAAAAAAGCTAAAGATCTAGACTCAGAGTACAAACAACTACAGCTGGAATATCAGGAGAAAGAAAATCGAATGATAGCTCTAGAGAATGAAGTGGAGGTAAAGGACGCGTTCGTAGATCTGTTCAGTTACATACTGCATTGAATAGTTGTGTTGTGCTGGATGTTTGTGATTCATATTTTTATGTTCTTCATGTTCTGACACATGTCAGATCTGGTAGCTTGCTGTCTGTGGTGCTTAGCCTGTGGCTCTTTTCTTTTTTTTGGTTGGGGTGGGTGAACGTTTCTGTGCCGAATGCTGATTCTGAGTTTTTTTCTTTTGTTGTCATTATTTCTTGTTCCTCGCCCAGTTTAAATGCTGTTATTGCCATCTGCTATTTAAACCATGCCAAAACAGAAACCAGATCTTTCAGAAATTATTGTGCAACCTGCAAATTGTTGTATCATGATGAATTTAACAAAATTTTGAACAATTTTCTCATTTATTGGAAAGAATTTAAAAAATTTTTATTTTGTTTTGGTATTGACAGAGTAATGCAAGTATGACCCAAGGGAATTCAACTCTGCTGGACTCACAGATATTTATTAAACTAAATTTGTGCATACAACATTTGATTATTATTATTTTTTTAAATAGACAATTTTTTCAATAGCCATCACACATGTAAAATTTACAACAGTATATTCTCCTGTAATGACTCCTTAAGTTGGAAACAAACATTTAAAACAATTGCACTTACTTTACTTCTTTTTTTTTTTTTTTTACCTTGAAACGTCTGTTCTGGGAGTTTGGTGAGTGGGTACGAAATTCCATACGGATGGATTGCTTTACGACAGCAACAAATGTCGTGTGGGCTATTCAGAGTAATTACGAGTCAATTCCACTCACTTAACTGTAGGGGGCTTCAAAGTAGCAAAAATACACAAAACTACATACAGTTGCTTTAAAGATGAAGTGTGTAATTTCTTTGCATCGAGTAGCAACCAAAGGAAATAGGAAAAATAATAAATAATAAATCTCTGGGTACCTTATCGGATGAAAAGCAGTGTGTCAAATGAGTTGGATGCCCAAATATCCAATATTTATGAAATTGTTTGTGAAAAAAAAACCTGAATAACATACTGCATTCACAAAAATTCTGAAGTGTGCAACCAGTGGACACTTTGCTATCCCATAATACCACTGGAGCTGTCAGATTCGACAAAAATTGTCAGAAAACATTCTACAGAACGTACTATGTTAGTAGAATGTCAATGTCAATGTCAATTTTATTTATATAGCACTATTAAACACAACCGTGGGTTGACCAATGTGCTGCACAATAAAAACATTTCAATAAGACAATACAAAATAATTACTAAAAGAAACAGTACAGTAGAAAGTTCTCATTGATAAAACGCCAAGTCAAAAAGGTAGGTTTTCAACATGGATTTAAAAACAGATAGTGAAGGTGCAGATCTAATACAGTGGGGCAGAGCATTCCACAATCTAGGGGCAGCAACTGAGAAAGCGCGGTCACCCCTGCATTTAAGCTTCGACTTTGGGATGCATAATAATCTCTGGTTGGACGACCGGAGAGACAAGAGGGGCCGATGTTCAGTCAATAAATCAGATAAATAAGCAGGGGCCAAACCATTTAATGATTTAAACACTAAGAGAAGAATTTTAAATTAACTCGATAGCGCACAGGCAACCAGAGCAGAGAACGTAAAACTGGTGTAATATGATCCCGTTTTTTGGTACTCGTTAAAAGCCTTGCAGCTGCATTTTGAACTATCTGCAAGCGGGATAGGGCTGACTGACCAATCCCAAAATACAGCGAGTTGCAGTAGTCTAATCTAGATGTAATAAAAGCATGAATTACTTTTTCAAAATTTTTACTAGACAAAATAGGTTTTACTTTTGCTAGAAGTCGAAGCTGAAAAAAGCAGGACTTGACCACCGTATTTATCTGTTTATCAAATTTTAAACCATCATCAAAAATAACACCCAGATTTTTTACCCAAGGCTTCACGGAAGAGGTTAAATCGCCAAGATTTACTTTCGGTGTACTACGAGAATCCGACGGACCAAACACAATTATTTCAGTTTTACTCTCATTGAAATTAAGAAAATTTAAAGACAACCAGGCTTTCACATCAGACAGGCAAGACATAAGTGCTTCCAGACCATTTGAACTCTGTTTTAAGGGCAGATAGATTTGAGTGTCATCTGCATAGCAATGGAAAGACAGACCATGCTTCCTAAAAATAGAACCCAATGGGAGCATGTACAACGAAAAAAGAATAGGCGCCAATATGGATCCCTGGGGAACACCACATGACAAAGAAGCTACCTCAGAAAAGCGTTCACCAATGTTAACTCTAAAACTTCGATTGGAGAAATAAGATTTAAACCATTCAAGAGCACTTCCTTTTATGCCTACACAGTGCTCCAAGCGAGCAAGCAGGATAGCGTGGTCCACAGTGTCAAAAGCAGCGCTCAAGTCTAGGAGCACAAGCACAGCATGATCCCCAGCGTCACCAGTTAATAGAATATCATTTAAAACTTTCAGAAGTGCAGTCTCAGTCGAGTGGTGTTTTCTAAAACCTGATTGAAAGACCTCAAAGATCTTATTTTCATCTAAAAAATTTTGTAGCTGTTGCAGGACTACTTTTTCTAAGATCTTTGAAATAAAAGACCGATTTGAAATGAGTCTATAATTGGCTAAAACAGAAGGATCTAGGTTCGGCCTCTTAAGCAAGGGATAGACTGTAGCATGTTTTAACACATCTGGCACAGTACTAGTCTCAAAACATCTATGTATCATGGTCACAAGATAGGGACCCACTGCATCAAAAACTTGTTTCAGGAAATATGGTGGAATAGAATCAATGGAGGAGCCAGACGGCTTTAACTGATACACTATTTCTTGAAGATGTATAAGAGAAATAGGTTCAAACTGGCTGAACTCAACAGAACAAACAGAAGAAACAGAAGGATCAAAAGCAGGTGGAGATATCCCCAACCTGATATCACTGATCTTATTAATAAAAAATCTAAGAAAGTCATCACACATAGTTTTTGACACATCTGGGTACTCACAAACAGTTGGATTTACAACAGCGTTAAAAATAGTAAAAAGAG